TTATATACAGGAACTGTTGAACATCCTCTTCATTTACCTAATGTAGGCACCAGTGGTAATGTAGTAATAAGATTGTGTGAGATAGTTGAACCAAACAAATACTATAAAGTATATTTTGACAACTGGTTCAATAGCATTCAGTTGCAGATTGATATGGAAAAACGTGGACTGCAATGTTTGGGAACTGTTCGTCCAAATGCCTAATTGCCATTTTTCTGATGACAAGAATATGAAGAAACAGGGCAGAGGTACTGTAGAAGAAAAGCACGCTACACTAGATGATATAAGACTGACAGCGTTAAACATTTGTTGGTTCTGAGCCTACTTCGTTAGTCAAGAGGTGGGATACGAAACAAAAATCAAGTATTGATGCATGCTATCCAAATGCAGCGCAATTTTATAATAAATTTATGGGAGGTGTCGATCTTATGGATTCACTAATTGCTCTTTACCGAACAAACATAAGATCTAAAAAGTGGTATCTAAAAATATTTTTTCACCTTCTGGATTTAGCTGTAGTTAACAGCTGGTTGTTGTATCGTCGTGATTGCGATTACTTTGAAATTGAAAAGAAAAACCAGTTGCCTTTGTTACAGTTTAAGTCCCATTTATGTAGCGTACAGTTAGCAAGAACTGACCAGATCAAAAACAAAGGACGTCCTAGCTCACTGAAATTGTGAAAGAAATTGTAAAAAAACAGAAGAGAGGATCTACTGCTATTGTACCACCAAAGGAAGTAAGGCTTGACAAAACCTCCCACTGGCCAGTACTTTCTGAAAAAAAGGGAAGATGCAAAAAAACAGGATGCTGTAATACTCCTAAAGTAATGTGCGATAAATGTAAAGTTGCTTTATGTTTTACAATTACAAATAATTGTTTTTTTGATTGGTATAATAAATAAGTATATAACTTAATTCGTTAGTTTTTGCTGCCCACAGTTGCCTGAAGGCAACACTCCCAAAACTCCCCCAAACAAAATTTAAAAAATCTAAAAAAATTACTAGTTGTAAATGCATATTTAAGCATATATACAAAACATTTTCTCTTCAAAGTTTACAAAAAAGTCGGGCAATAGAGGGTTAAGAGAGGTACTCTGCCGAAACAGGTGTAGTGATAATAAATTATAATAAATTTTTTGTTTGACAAAACTTTTGATTGTTTTACTGTTAAATGTACTATAATATATGATTACATGTAGTGTTTACTGTAGTACAGATAGTAATCATATATACACCTGGTGATTATAATTTTCATTATTTGGACATAGACGAACAAAACAAAATCAAAAACAGAGCAAAAGTTTCTGCTAAACTGCCTGAAGATTGAAGAGTATCTATCAACTGCTTTTAATGATTTATATAATAATGTTCTCTAACAAAAATTATATACACTTGTTTTTTGAAAGTTCGCCAAGTCATCATTATTATTTAGTAGGTAAAGCGTCCCCTACAGCTCTAGACAGCTTCTCGTTTATTTTGTGTGTATGATTTCTTCTCTCATGGCCAGCATTCACGTGTACACTATTCAGTTCACTTGCCTGACCCACCCAAACCAGTTCACGGCGAGTAATTAATATTACACGTGAATGAGATCGAAGGAAATAAAACCTTAAGCGTAACTGGTATACTTAACCATTTCAAAAGTTTCACCCAATTAATGATACTCTTATTTCTTTGACAGAGACATTCGGCAATGCTTTATTCACTTTCATGTTTCATGTACACATGAACTAATTTACATAATAGTATGTGTAACAGGTGGGCACTTGAAAGTCTATAGCTTCTCATTACCGACGTTGTAAAACGTAGATCGGATTTCAATAATGAAATATGGCGAAACGTTTATAGGTTTTCTACAGATACTTTAATTAACAAAGATATTTCCCTAAGGAGGCTATTATGCTCTACAATGTTGGTATTTTTTTAATTCCGTATAAAACTAGTTAATTGCAGATATGCCGTATGAAGGTGAACTTGCCAAACCAGCGCCGAAAAATAACGAAACAATGATAACAAAAATATTCTATCTTCAGTATATCTACTAGTGATACTTTTTTTACAGTCTTAAATTTTACACATCCTATACTGTTTCTTACGGTACATCTGCTTTAAAGCGATGCAGGTGAGTGTATTCATCTTTCACCAAGAAATACTGGTCTGTTAGACAGGGCGGTATTGGTTTTTTTACTTATAGAGTACTTCGTGTCATAAATTATCGAAGGCTTTACTGACATCCAAAAAAGCTACTGATAGATAGGGTTTTGTCTATTTACTTTTGAAAACAGTTGTTGGGACAACAACTGTTGTCCCTATAAGACAAGACTCCAACTCTTTATAAAACTAATGTTATTTACGAGTTGCCTTGTTCGGATTGTCAGAGTTATTATGTCGGTCTTTGCCAACATAACAACTTTGCAGTTATTTGGTTTTGTCGGTTTTCAAGGTTTTTAACTTTTCACAACTAGGGTTTATAAATATGAACAGATATATTATTGATGACGGGTCATTTAATATAAGTGTTTTTAAATAATGTAGTAATCATTGGCTACACCGAAATCAAACCAGCCAAAAACTTCTGCAAGACGTCTCAAATTGGAAAGAAAAGCTAAAAAGCTTGGAAAGAAATGTAGGAAAGTCATACAAAATAATCAAAGGAAAAGTTATTTTCGCAACACCATTGAATAATTGCCGTATGGAGTGTAAAAAAGATTTCACGAGAATGAGTTAAAAGCAGTATTTGACGAATATTGACAAATGGCGTCTTATTCAAAAAGATCGGCATATATATCGTCACTAATCGATATTCAGGATAAAGCTACCCATCGTCATAGGAGTAACGATGACAAACAACAATTCTGAATGTGTACTTATAAGTACCATTTGATAATACATGGCCAGCAAAAAACGATTTGCAAAGGTAGCTTACTCCGCACTTCATAAGAAAGTCAAAATTTTATTATAACTGGAGCATTAAAAAAGAAAGCAAGTATTGCTGGAACCTCCACAGAAGACAGAAGAGGTAAACACATCCCAAAACATAAACTGCATACTGAAGAAATAAAACAGCACATTCTGTCCTTCCCACATTACGAGTCGAATTATAGTAGAAAAAAACTCTGAAAATATCTTCCTTCACACCTCACACTACAAAAAATGCAACAACTGTATAAACAAACGTATTCATCTGCCGTTTCAATGAGAATATACTCACAAGAGTTTAAAAAATTTAATTTATCATTTAAGGAACCTCAGGTGGATACTTATTTCACTTGTGACGAAACTTTGTACAGATGAGACAGAAAAAATAAAATCGCACGAAGAGTATAAAAAAGGCGATGAAACTGTATATGACGAGAAAAAAAAGACACCCAGGAATCTAAAACTAACAGTCTGATCAAAACAGATACTTTTGATTTGCAGGAATGCCTAGCGACTCCCGATTTAAATCATCTCTAATTTTTTATAAGCGTCAGCTGTGGACACACAATCTAACGGTCCACGACAATGCAACCGGTCTAGCAATATGCTACATGTGGTATGAATCAATAGCCGGCAGGGGGCTAACCACATTGCTTCCTGCTTATACCGACATCTCAAGACTATTGTACTCTCCCAAATAGAGGATGTTACTTACAATTCTGGCACATGCGGTGGACAGAATCGCAACTCCCATGTGACGTACATATTTACATTGTATGAAAGACTCAAGCAATTTTAAATTTATAGGCCATATGTTCATGATACCAGGACACAACCATCTAGAGGTAGATATGTAGAAAAAAGACTGGACTAGAGATTTTCCATCCACATGGCTGGATGCCGTTGGTTCGCTCTAGCAGCAAAAAAAAACTACAGTTTATGAAATGAAAAAAATAAGATTTATTCAGTTTCCCTTCTTTATTAAAAGGACCTTTGGTTTTAAGAAAAACGGATACTGAAGGAAATCCTTTTAAATGGCTGGAAATGAGGTGACTACGTTACAAAAATGAATAAATGACACAACTGAAACTGTTACACAAATGAAATAAATTTGGTGTTATACAGTTAAGGAAAACACTATCCAATGAAGAACCATTCCACATATAGAGTTAAATAGACGAGGTGGTCAACTCCCAGCCGATATACCAATAATATCCAATTAAACATTGCCTATTTCAAGAGAAAAACAAAGATGATCTGATGTGACTCCTTCCACTCATCCCAACTATTTTTCATAATTAGGTTTATGATACTTAAAAACACATGCTATGTACAGTCAATAGAGATACCGACAAAGAGATTTTAAGTGATGAAGAAAATGAATTTTAATTAATTATAAAACTTTTCTTAGTGCATTATATTTTTTTGTGAAATGATAAGTTCGTAATATTAATTTTTTAAATTTGTACTACGTATTTTTATGTTTTAACTCAACTAACTTTACTTTTTATATATAGTTTTAGCTCATTGATAACAAGTTTATTGTTTTGATACAAATAAATGATTATGGAATCAATAATGCGATAAAAACTATTTAGACAATGTTTTGGTATACTTTTAAACAAATAGTGCCAACTATTTTGCAAAATTACCATTTTATTTACTGTTCAATTTCTCATCATTTTTTACCTCTCCCGTACAAAGCATATTTTTGACTTATTTGCTTTTGTCCACCGACTAATGAATATATAACATCGTTCTTTTTATTAATTTTGTTTAAAGTTATATCGTAGTTTTTCCTGATGAAGCTAGCAAACAATTAGCGAAATAATATACAGACGGAAAGAAAAAAAGTTTAATTTACAAATATAGAGCAGACTGGCATACCTAATTCACTACAAAATTATTGTTTTACATTTCGTTCGTTGGGTTTCATTGGGGGAGAATTTAGCAATTAGATTTAAAATTGTAAATAGAGAAAAAAATGTAAACCAGAGGTTAGTTCTACTGATTTGGCAAGAAAATGAAAGTGATGTACTTAAATGTATTATTTTTTAATCAAAATTACGAATACAAACTTACCTTTTCTTGTAGAATCCTACAGAGGGGCTTAAAAGAATTGGTTCCGCAAATTAGATATTTACCAGGAGCTGTAGGCACCAGTATTCTGATATAGTTTTGGCAATCATCTTCTGTTTTTCCCTTGAGATTACAAAGCTGACTGTGCGCTTCGGAAGAGGGCCAGGAGTCTAAACTTACAGCTTTCTCAGCTAAATCGAACATCGATAAATTATAAATTTGGTTCCTTCCTCCCAATAAAATAGATTCATCGTCTTGATACAAGACAGTAAAATGGTCGATTGACGACGTATTCCCCCTAAACACTATACTACGAATTTTGTTGGCATTATTGACGAGCTTTGTGCTTGTATTTGGCAACCATCCATGACCAATTTTAATAAGGTATAGTAATATCAAGAGAAAATAATGTAGAGAGATTGTTGAAAGGCACGAAAAGGCACGGAGCTTCATTTTGGGCTGAGGGGTAGCGTTCACTTTTGGAGCGTCATTTTTTCACCGTTTTCGGCCTGAAACAACAGAAAATATGTTAGTAAATGCAAACACATACTAAAGATAGCGTGATAAAAAGTTTCAGGTATTTCGATTAAAAACTAATATAATAAATAAAATACAAAAAGTGGTAAAGTAGGTGGTACTGTACACTAGCGCTGTTAATATTTCTGTGGTAAAATAGTTATAAAAATTAACGGACTCGCCTCATCGCGTAAATGGACTCCTCCAGCTATTTAGTGACGCTACTTTCCAGTAGCCATGGAATAAGTCTTCCTTTTTTTTAATGTTCACCCCCACACAATAAATTTAAAACAAATCTGATCATAATCTAACTTTTATACATAATTGTTTGATTACACTAAAACACAAATTTAAATAAAATAAAGTAATCAAGTCACTTTTGTTACTTTTGTAATATATACAAATACAAAGGATCTGTTTGTGGAAAATGCAATAACATTCATAAACGAGTTCAATCAAAGTTAAACTTTGTGCCTGTGGGTTGACTGTTTAAAGTTATTTCCCAACTTTTAAGCATATGAAAATCATGCAAAATACAAAAATTAACATAAGAAAGTAATTGCATTAGAATCTAGAATTCGAGTTATGCCATTGGTTTTTATGGTCAAACAGTAACTACCTTTGAAAATGAATTTACTTAAATCATTCTTAGTACTAAATTAAATCTTAAATCCAAAATAATGTAAAATGCTTTTGCAAATCACATTGAATAAATTTACTACACAATGTCTTAACAATAAGTAAATAAAAATGAAGTTATGTTGAACCCTAAAAATTTCCCAAGTTTCCACAAAATCAAAGGCTTTCTGGAAATCCACAAAACTAGGGAAAATTATTTTAATATAAATATTATTTACAAAAGATAATTTTATTTTATAATATTTTAATTATATCAAAGGCAGGTTCATTGTTTTTGGTGCCAATACAACATGCCATTACAATCATGGTCATTACAAACTAATTATCTTTGTAGCTCGGATCTATAATGATATCAAGGCTTTGTGGTTGTTTAGTAGTTATTCTGATATCACAGTTTACTGTTCATTGAAAATGGAAATTCAAAAATTAAGCCAAGGAAATATCTTGGACAAGAAAAGAAACTATGGAAGGAGGACTAATGCCCGTAAAAAAAAACAAGAAAACGTACCAAAAGTAGAGTGAACAGCAGAAAATTCACTTACAAAAAAAATTTATTGCCGACATTGAACAAAGTTTTTGCACTGGTTAAAAAGATAAAAAGACAAAGACTTGTCAAGCACAACAATGTGAAGAATACTCTATGAAATGAACTTTTTTCTTTACAAAGAGGAGTAAGTAAAGTCGACCATGATGGAACGGTCCGATATTTCGAAATGGAGGCAACAGTATTTGCGTGAGATAAAAAATTTCTTTCAACACCGTCGTTTATTTAGATGAAACTTGTGTCGGACAAAGTGTTTCCAAAGAAAGGAAGAACCTATCAGTGACGTCAGCCAGGGATTTGTCAACAGACCTAAAACACCCGACACAACGAGGCCCCCGATTTTTGATAGTGCATGCCGGTAGTGAATTGGCCCCTGTTGGAATGTGTTGCTTTTTGGTTTTTAGCTAAAAACACTCAGCGGACTATCATAATGAGATGGATGGTTCTCTATTTAAACAATGGCTTAAGGAAAATCTGCTTATTAATCTTTCAGAGAAAACTGTTCTGGTGAATTACAATGCCAGCAACGTATCCGCTTATTAGTGAAATTAAGTTTATTACATCTACACAGTGCTGAATACGGCTCTGATTAGAATGCCTCGTATATTGACAGTCAAGTAGAAACACAAGTCTAAGAGTTTTGGCAACAATGATATGTATAAGCCAAACGTTCCATTCTTAACTTGAAATAAATTATAAAAAGACATAAAATAAAAAATTACTAAAGAACACACTATATTGTATATACTCAAGAGCCATTTAAGAGCAAAAGTTATTAAAAACGCAAGATTAAAAATGGAATGTAAAAAATGGAACAAAAAGAACGACAAACAACGAAGAGATAGATACCAGATAACAGAGTAGATATAGGACAGACGAACAAGAAAAAGAAGAACGTATATACATACATATATCTGGGTGTTGTAACCTTGCGTTTAATAAACTGCGAATAACCTATCTAAACTAGCTTAATAACTGGATAAAAATTTAATATTTAGGTTAAATATATTAAAATACCACCGAATGAAGAAAATATTGAGTGAACAAATAAGGTACTGTTTTTGTATGATAATTGTTTTGGTTTTGCGGCAAATAATTTGATCAATCGTGAGTTTTTATTCAATCAGAGCTCGTTGAACCACTTCTCACGACTTAATCAGAGAGAGTACTAGAATATAAATAAAAAGTATTTGTTTGTATTGCTATTTCGTGAATGATCTGATTATGATTATGGTTTTTAACATTTTTGTGTTACATAACTTGGAATCGATTCTATTTTTATGGACTTAGGCACTGTACTTAATTTCAACCAGCGGTGTAAAAAGAATAAACGATCATAAAAATGCGAAATTGAGTCTTTTAAAAAATATTTTCTAAATCTAAATTTGGAGGGCAATAATATAATATAATAATATCCATCAGAGCTTGAATCTGTAACTTCTAATACTGTAGATATCTGAGATGACTCAACTTCACCTTTAGAAGATTATGTATAAATGATCATAGAAATGCTAAATTGAGACTTTCGACAAATATTTTCTGAACTTAAAAATTGCAAGGCACTTTAATGATAATAATAATATCATCTAGCAGACCTTTAATCCTTTTAATATTGTGGTTATTTGGGATGACTGAATCTCTCCCTTAAAGGAAGTTGTGGAAGGAATAATAGTTGTGGTAAGAAATAGACTGAAACAATTAGAATTAAAGGCTTTGATAGTTTTGCTTTAGACATAATTCGGCGACTTGATGTTCTGATAATTGAGATATAATTTAACACTACTAAAGATTTGGAAATACGAATTTTGACAGTAAAATATTTGTAGACATATTCAAGACATTTTATGATAATTTAAAAAACAATTTAGAAAACCGTAAAAAACTTTATCGGTGTATATAGCGACTAATAAAAAGATGATAGAGAGATTTATTCTAACTGTATATGGACGAATGTTTATTTTTTCTCTATACATTTCGAAAGACTGGAAGTTGCGTTTACGTCACTATTCTCAGAAAGTAAACATTTATAATGATGCTTTAGTTTTGTTAACATGAAAACCTAATTTTAGATTTTCTTCTTCGCAAAGGTGATAGCTAATTAGTCTTTGTGATTAACGTATTGAAGTAAACTACATTTCCTTCGAGGCTAGTGTGCAATTCAATTAGATTTCTCGTAACTAAGTGATACAGGAAACCGTTCTGTGTATCAAAATTGTTAAGTATGGCGAAAACAGTAACAAATTTAATTGGGAGGTTTAGAACTAAACTTTTCATTTTGATTTTTTTTTTCATATACATAGGCTGTCCCAAAATTAACACAAAAAGTAATTTTGATAGAGAAAACAAACGTTTTAACTAAACATTCTGGAGTTTTAATTAATAAAGTATACAGTATAGGTTATGTATGAAGAAGTAAAGAGGTTAAGTGCACTTTCGGTTTATGGTAAATGGACAGCATTTTGTTATTGAAGCAAAAATAAAATGGACACCAAATAAAGACGAATTGGGACAACTTAAAAGAAAATTGGGACATACTTACATAAAGCATTTTTTTTAGCAGGTGGCTTAGGAAGAATTAGAAAATGCAAAAAAAAATAGCCAAAAGCAGAAAAGCTAGAGGACAAAATAAAATACCGACAGAAGTTGTTAGTAAAGAAACAAATTAAATGGGACACCAAATAAAGACGAATTGGGACAACTTAAAAGAAAATTGGGACAGCCTTACATATGTAAAGCATTTTTTAGCAGGTGGCTTAGGAAGAATTAGAAAATGCAAAAAAATAGCCAAAAACAGAAAAGCTAGAGGACAAAATAAAATACCGACAGAAGTTTTTAGTAAAGAAAAAAATTAAATGGGACACCAAATAAAGTCGAATTGGGACAACTTAAAAGGAAATTTGGGCAGCCTTACATATGTTAAACATTTTTTAGTAGGTGGCTTAGGAAGAATTATAAACTGCAAAAAAATAGCCAAAAACAGAAAAGCTATAGGACAAAATAAAATACCAACATAAATTGTTAGTAAAAAAAATTAAATAGGACTCCAAATAAAGCCGAATTGGGACAACTTAGGAAATTGAGGTAGCCTTACATTATGTAAAGCATTTTTTTAGCAGATGGCTTAGGAAGAATTAGAAAATGCAAAAAAATAGCCAAAAACAGAAAAGCTACAGGACAAAATAAAATACCAACAGAAGAAATGCTAAAAAGTACTCCGACTGTAGGAGTATCAGTCTAACGTAATTCGGTTTCGTAATAATCTTGAACAAGAGAGGCACTATTCAGCGTGCAAGTACTGGTTCAGAGGTGTACAGATGTCAATCATCCTGTGCATATGTGCTTTACAGACTTCGAGAAAGCATTCGTCAAGGTTAGACATGGAAAATTGATGGAAATTATTGAACCAGTAGGAATAGATGACAAAAACTTGAATTATACCAAATCTATACTATCACCAGCAAGCAAATGTCAGAATTGGGCTCGATACTTCTGAATACTTTCTAATATACACTAAGAGAATATAAGAGTGTGGTAAAGGAAATAGGTGGAAGCATAACAGGAAAAAAAAACTAATCGTTGCTGAATGATCTGAATGCAAAATGGCTCCATCCTGGGGCCATTGGTTTGGAATCTTCTATACAACGAGATTTTGAAGGCTGACCTGGGCATTGGTATACAAGCAATAGCGTATGCGGATGACCTGGTGGTGCCGGTGGAGCACAAGGAAAACTGCACAATCATGCATAGAGCAAACCGATCAATCAATAAAGTGAAGACGTAGATGGGATGCAGGGACCTCATACTGCCGGT